TGGGACACCTACGGGCCCTGCTAGATCCACTGCAACCCCAGCCACTGCCCCCAGCCCCACGCCAACTCTACCACCACCCACGCAGGCCTGAGCTGGGGGGCACAGGCCACTGAGGAGTGCTGAGTAGCCCCACTACAAATGCCTGGGCAGCTGCCATTGCCACACCCCCTCGACTCTTCTTCCCTTTGGAAGCCAAAAGGCTCAGCCAGGCTGCAGCACCAAGTCCTCAGCATCTGCCGTGCCACACCAAGGGGAGCCTGCGCTGCCAGAAGCCATGCTCTGGAGAAGATCCCTCTGCCTCCTCCAACACATGACAACCAGTGTTTCTGTGTTTCACCGTATCTCTCTGACAATCTCTGCTGCCCATTTGGGTTGAATAAAACTTTCCTGCATCCGAGTGCTGACTCCTTGCCTCCTTTTCCCAAGTCAGGCAGATTGTGGGAAGGAGCTCAGGATGCGGCCGGGGAAGGTGATCACCACGGGGGGTGGCTGGATGAAGGCTGTGGATATGGGGCACTGCTGGGCCCACAGTTCGTTGCAGCTGTCAGCGATGGGCTGGGGGACAGCCACGCTGGTTTTCACTGGGCACCAGTCATTACAAGACATCTTGCTGGGTTGCAGATTCATTTGCAAAAGATAGAGATAGAAAAGACTAAAAATAAGGCAGAAATTTTATGAGATAAATTTCAGAATGCTGATATGAGTGAAACTTCTACGTTGTGCTTCCCTATGCTATAGCGTATATGTTTTGAGCAGTCTTGATCAACTTGATTAGCACTAGCTAAGCACCAGTATTCCAATTTTCTGACTACATAAAGTCCTGCCCAGGGATGATCAGTCCCCACTGATGCGGACTGATTTTCTCTAGTGTTGCATTGATGTGTTCTATGCTTCCTGCAAACACCCATCTTGAAGAACAATGTAAGAACCTCAGTCTCACCTATCATAGAGTTCTCCAAAGTGAGTAAACATACCCATGTTAGATGTGGCTTTTCCTGAAATAGGAGAGTTTATTTATGTCCCATAATGCCACTGAACAAAGATGAAAAGACGGCTATCTTATACATTTATCTTAAATTTTATTAAATATTAAAATAATTATCTGAAATAACTATTTTAATCTGTGATTTTTAAGCTAATTGGCTTACGATACTCAAATCAATTTCTCAGGGTTTCTTGCACCCACACCCAGTCTTTCAAATCCTGCATTTACTACAGCTTTCCTGAAGAGTACAGACAGAAACCATCTACTGCAACTCAAAATCTGAGCGTACCTATAGGAATCTTCTCCATCTACTCTGATATAGGTTCCAATTAAGCATATAGAAAGAAGTCAATAAATCATATTCAGCTCAACAAGGCGAATAAGCCAAAAGAAGTGTCTGGATGAACTCAGGGTTTGGAGCTTATGTAGCGTTTCTCTGCATTCCTACAGGATTTGAGACTTGCTTCGTGCTGGGGGTTGTGTTTGGCTGCCTAACAGAAATTATTTAACAGTTTTGAGCGACAAAAGTATCATGGCTATGATTTTATTCAAATTCTCACACTGCGTGATGTCCATGTTACACCATCACAATTTCTTTAATCTTGGGTCTTAATTGGCTAGTGTAATTCCTGGTATCATTAAAGTGACTTCACTGGAATTACCATGTGCACTAAGCTGACTCCACATGTTACTTCTCCCTTTATAAAGTTGTCATAAGCTTGTCTGCTCAGAGGTTTTGTAAGACTCATCTTTGGCTGACATACACATTTTTCCTTAACAGTCTTCTAAATTTGTCTGGTAAATTAATTGGAGACAGAGTGCAACTTATCCGAGGACTGCCCAGGAATTTGTCTTTTCCATCCCTTGCTTAAGTAGACCTCACTGACCTAAGATGTATTTCAAGTGGTCACAGATATCAGATGAGATCATACAATACATATGACAATTCCCGAACAGAACGTCCCATTGAAAGGAACATTCTTTTTTGAGGCAACACAATCCTGCATTAAAAAATCATTTTGTTTCACTAGAAGAGTTTACATGGGAATTTAAATTCAACTTTAAAGGTGCCCACAGTCCAGCTGACAGTGACTTGAGCTATGAAGTCAAAGACATCACCATCCAGAAATGTATGAAGTCCCACCGCTGCTCACGATCCACCAAAATAGGTACAATTTTAAGGAAAAAATCAAAGAAGCAGATAAAGGTTTCTTGTTAGATGTTGAGGGCGTTAACTCTTATCAAGCATGTTCTGGGGCTTCCTGAGAAAAAAGTTCTTCGTAATGATTTCACATTCATTAAGTGATGTTCAGCCCAGCTAATGTTTGGTGTTGTGTTAATGTATGAAAATGTGTGAGTGATTTAGATGCTACAGTGTTGCACAATCACATTTGCTTTAATGTACAGGAAACAAGGTGGTGCACGCCATTACTTTAATCAGATCATGATTTGTGCCATTGGAAGTCATGTGTCAATATTAATGTAGCTCTTCTTTTCTTTCATTTAAAAAAAATCCTTTAGACATTCTTAATCAAGTATAAGATGTCATGTTTGATGAATATCAGGTGACTATATGTCGTTATTTCAAACTACACTTTCCAGAAAAGATTCTGCACACATTTGTGATTATTTACTCATTTTCTGTGCTTTTTCAGAGGACAGTCAGTATCTTTTACTCCAACTTCTAAGTTTTTACCCATGTCCAAGGCATTTTCAGACTTTTCTCATTGTCATCCCTGAGAAGATCCCCCAGGGCTGACATATCCAGTCTTAATTCCTGCAATGCCTAAGCTGAATACTTCTTCTTGTGATACAACTTCAATATTTTCCTTCTCAGGTGATAGAGGAATCATGTTTTGATTTCTCAATTGTTTTTGTTTGTTTGTTTGTTTGTTTTTTCTGACATGTATTGTTGCAGTTTGGGAGGAATTGTGACTGGGGAGGTAAATGGAAACCGTAGCTGGCTAAAGTGTTTGTTTCCTCAACAAAAACTACCTTGCATTTGTTGCAGGGGAAGACAAAAAACACTCTCCAGGTATAGAAAGTGAATTACTGCAACCCACATCTCCCAGTCTGGAGGTGACCTCGTTGCCTAGATCTACATTTTACTGCAAAGTCGGCAAGTCGGAGCAAGTTGTGCCTCATTATTCTATCTCGGGGCAACAAACCCTGTCCACATAGAAGTCCTCTATTTCCTCTCTCCACTTGGTAGCATTATTTTGTATTTAATAACATTGTGATATAAACGCTCTCCAAACTGAAAAATGTCTTTTGGGGGTTCCCGTGGGAAAAAAAAAAAAGGTACTTATTGCAGAATTTCTCAAGCAAACTGGGAACAAAGGATATCAAAGCACTTTAGAAACGCTGACTAATGATTTATGCATGCTGTTTTGTTGTTATAATGTGACTTGCATGTCCCGCTGGTGGATAATAGCATCAGTCTCAGCAGGGAGCCACTGTCAGTCATATCACTCTCCTAATCAGATTGTGGTTCATAGCCTCCGGGGCTGGCCAGCCCTGTCCCTGCCCTACTTTCCCTTTTGTGTCATCCAGGTTAGTCTGCTTCTTTCACTGAGTGTCTACAGCGTCTTCAGCAGAAGCCTGGCAGACTGCGATAAAAACTTCCTGTTCTTTCCAGTGTCTCTCCAGAACCTTAAGCAACCAGAAAGGGTGAAGTTGAAAAGTTGAATGTTAAAGACAGGGGATTAAGAGAGTTGAAAGGTGATATCTTCAAAATTAATCATAATTTCTGCATTTTAAATGAGAGACAGGGATATTTCACTGGTCTGGAGATCTATTAGTGTCTTAAAGTACCTCCTAAAACTAAGGAAGAGTGATAAAATTTATCATAGGAGAGAATGTACAGTGCATTTTTGCAGAAGATAAAGAAAGTGAAGGTTTATACCATAAGAGTAACAGCATAAACTAGGGAAAATTCATTATATATATTAAAATATATTGATAGTAATACGCTAATGAATATCAAGTAAGCAGAAGAGACAAGAAAAAAAACTTATGGGAGTAGGGTGCAGGAGATAATTTTTGAAACCTTAAGAGAAACAAAATACGTACAGATTGGAAACAGCTATTTTTAATATTTAAGTCTCTTACTGTCTCCACTAAATATATACTGTATCTGCCATGAATGAAAAGTAAGATTAAAAATAAGTGATAGTAGAAAATATATAATAGGATGGACCTCATCTTTGGAAGGAAACAGAGAATATAGACTATAGCAGTGGAGAAGAACATCAAATGTATTATCAACATGTATAAAAACAGGTAAAAATTAAACAATCTTTAAAATCAAAAAAATATTAAAAAACACTAAAAATTGGATGCATAAAAGATTTATTGAGCAAAACAAGTAGAATAAATTGGATACAGAACAAAAAACCAACAAAATAAAGGAGGACAAGAGCAACAAGAAAGGAAAAAAATGAAAATAAAAATTTCTACTCTTATAGTTCTCAAAATTAAGCTTCAAAAACATCTAAAAAAAGTTATACACTTTATATAACTTTAAAAAAAGTTATGACATCAATGACATAAACAATAAAGAAAATGACAGAGTGAATAAATGGTGAAAATGTTTGATTAAAATTTACAAAAGAGAATATTAGGGAAGAGATCTGTGATACTGGAATGAAAGCAAAAGTTTAAGGTCAGCAAATCAAAGCTTTGTAGAAACTATTAACAGTTGAAACATTTGGGAAGACTAGACTTTTCTAAATATCTCATTCCTGTCAAATAAAAAGGCAACTGAGTGGATCTAGCAGGGCCCGTAGGTGTCCCAGAGCTTCTTGCCGTAGCGGGGCACAGCCCAAGGGCCGTAGGCAGGAGAAGTGTAGGGTGTGCCGAAGGTGCAGAGGCCCCCCGAGCCCAGGGTGGCCCCGACACCGTAGAGGCCCCCCAGCCCCAGTTTGCCCCCGAAGGCGGGTGCTCCAGAGGAGCCCACCACAGCTTGCTGGGGGAAGGAGCTGAGGATGGGGCCAGGGAAGGTGACCACCACGGGGGGTGGCTGGATGAAGGCCGTGGAGTCGGGGCACTGCCGGGCGCACAGCTCGTTGCAGCTGTCAGCGATGGGCTGTGGGACGGCCACGCTGGTTTTCGGTGGGTACAGGTCCTTGCAAGCCATCCTGGTGCGAGAGAGCTGAGCCTGAAAGACACGGCCCCAAGGGCAGGTGTCATGAGCAAGGAAGAGATTCTGTGGCCATGAAGGTGCCCATTGGCAGTGCTGGCCTGGAGCTGAAGGGGCCACAGCCAGCGCTGTGCCTGCACTGCCTTCCATGTGCCCTTTCCCCACCAGCCCCCTAGAGTGCCCTGCTCCCTGCACCCCTCGCCTTGCCCTCTCTGCGCACAGGGAGTGCAGTGCATCACCAGCCCTCCCCGGGAGCCTGGGCAGGGTCTGGCTCTGTGTATCCTGGCCACACGGCTCCTTTCTCCTCCCACTAGAGCTCGTCCTGTCCCAGCCACCC